GCATCAGTTCTGAATTGACATTACATAGCAATTAAAGCACGATGATAATATTATTAAATAATACGATGTCACTGTTTTTGTTGTTGTTATTGTTGTTAATGTTTACCATAGAGTCAGAATCGACCCATAGTTGACCCTCCGGAGGATTTGCAAAGCCAGTTAATCATGCGGGATTGCCTTTGGGATTGCAGCTTAGCTTCTTGCCACAGAGCTGCCTATGATATCACTATAATTTATAGTATTATTACTATTATTATTATTGTTGTTGTTGTTAGGTGATAATAAGTCAGAGCAGCCCTATGAACCACAGATCTGAACTAGCCCGTTGTTGCAGTGTGTTGATCCTTCTTGCTGAGGGTCTTTAACCTCTTGTGTGATGCCTTTCACTAAGGAATAGCCTCCCCTAATAGTACGTCCAAAACATATGAGACAAACTTTTGCCATTCTCACAGAAGACTTTGGCTACACTTTTTCTAAGATAGATCCACTTGGTTTTTTGGAAGTCCATGGAATATTCAGTGGTCTTCTCCAACATCCCAACTCAAACACATCAATTCTTCCATCATCCTTATTCATTGTGCAGCTCTCAGAATCATAGTGACTGACAAGCTCGTGGCTTGAATCAGGTGTACCTTAGTCTTCAAATAAACATCACTGCTCCTCAGTAATTTGGAAATATCCCTGACAGTAGACCTGCTCAGTATAATAACATCTCTTGATCTCTTGAATGCTGGTACCCAGGGTGCTATGTTGTTGTTGTTGTTGTTGTTGTGTGCCGTCAAGTCGCTTGCGACTTATATTGACCCTCTGTACAACAGCCCTAAACCCTCTCTGTCCTGTGCCAATCACACTGCCTCTGACACACCCATCCCGATTACCCCAGTCACTGAATCAATCCACCTCATAGAGGGTCTTTCCCCTTCTGCGCCATCCCTCCACCCTCCCAAGCATGATATCCCTCTCCAAGGACCTCTCCCTCATTACAACATGTCCAAAGTATGTCAGATGAAGCGTCAGAATCCTTGCCTCTAAGAAGCAGCCCGGTTTAACCCTCTCCGGGATGAATCTGTTTGTTTTCTTGGCAGTCCACAATACATTCAATACTCTTCTCCAGCACCACAGCTCAAAGGCATCAATTCTCCTTCTATCCTCCTTAGTCATTGTCCAACTCTCCGATGCATAATAAGTGATTGCAAAAACCATAGACTGTATCAGATGCACCTTAGTCTCCAGAGTGACACCATTGCTCTTTTGTAACCTGGAGAGGTCCCTAACAGCAGACTTTCCCATTGCAATACATTTATAGATCTAAATAAAATTAAATTGCTGACATTTTCAACTTTTCCTACATCTGTTGTGATATCGCATATGAGTCCAGTGTTAAGGATTTTTTTTTTATGTTAAGATACAATCCATATGAAAGCCTGTAGTACTTTGCAGTAAGTGTTTCAAGTCCTTCTCACTGTCAGCAAGCAAGGTTGTGTCATCTGCATAATGCTGCTACTACTATCATTGATAATTACTTTAAATCATTATATCTATCCTTAACAACAATAACATCAACATAGAGAGAGATCAGTTGGCCCAGTGGACAGAAAGCGATGCTACCAAGCCAAAGGTGGTAACTTTTAATCCGCGGCCTTAGGCCTGTCTTTCATTGTTTTTGTTCAAACATTCCTCTAGGTCGTGTAGCCTGGTGTGTCCACTTGCCATACAGCAAGTTGTGGTGTTGTGAGGCTGAACACTGTGACACTGATGTGTCAAATGTGTTAATGGTTGGCTACCCAATGAGGACAGAGAGTGGGGTGGAGCTCCCCGATTAAAACAGGCTTGGAAGGAGGAGTGGCATCCACTTCCTTAATAGCTTGCCTCGGGAAACCCTATGAACCTGGAGAGAGGATGAAAGACACCCAAGCATCGAGGACTCTCCTTCATAGGGTCGCTACATGTCGCCTGCGACTTGATGGCACTTAACAACAACAACAACATCTATCTAATAATGCTAATTTTATTAAAATGTATAATTTTTATAATAGTATTTCTAGCCCATAGAAAGTTTGCTGCTAATCTTAAAGCCATGTTTTTCTGATGACTCAATTCCACCATTTCTTCTTCCTAGAAGAAAGATAGACATTCCTCAATGAATTGGGATTATTAGCTGCTTTATAAAGAACCTACATATTTCAGTCATTGTACTGGATGTCTTATATTTATTATCTCTCTCAAAGTCTATAATAGTCTCATAATCCCAGGTATGAATATTCCAACTTGATACAGGAGAAGACAGTTTTAGAGAGTTGAAATAAATTGTGTAAGGTAATACAGAGAATCAGTTTCATAAATAATATTCATATTTAGGTCAGTGGTTTGAATCAACTAGCAGCTCCTAGTGATCTACTGTAATAAAGACTTCAGGATACAAAATTCTACTGAGCAGTAACTCTTTCCTATAGAGTCTCTGTGAGAACTGACTTGACAACACACATGCTCAAATTTGTGCAAACATGGATACATGATGCAAAATGTGCTGAACTGCTTTTCCTAAAATGATGACAGAGTATTTTTTTTTATTTAGGTTGTTTATTTTTCATTTCAATGAACATCTACAGAGATTTTGGAATTCCATTCATTCATTGTTGCACCCTTCTCCCCGCACAAACCCCTT